AAGAAGAAGAAGAAGAAGAAGAAGAAGAAGAAGAAGAAGAAGAAGAATAATCAAGTGAGTTGTAAAGTTTTATTGCAAGCTTAAGCTCTCTACAAGAATCTGGCCAACTGGTGCTTAAGGGAAATGAGTGGGAGATAAGAGCGGTATTCAAGAGGGGCTGGATTTCTCTTGTGGGTGCACAGGGACTCGTGGCTGATGACGTGTTTGACCCCCTCCCTCAGGCTCAGTCTGGTCATCTCCTACAATCCCCACCCGTTTCCACCAGCACCATGTTGCACTGCTTTTACCCCCCAATGGATACACACCTGGACCAGAAAGTTCTCCCAGGACATCAGGCATCCCTTGCTTCCGTTTTTTGTTGACCCGGTATGTATCTGTGTAAAGAAAGAACTATTCATTTATTCTGAGATACCTTACTACGGGTTCAAATCCAGGAAGAAAGGAAAGTAGCTGAGGCTCTTAAGATACAGGGAGTCTTACAACCACCGGCCTGGAATTTCCATTGCAGTTGTTAAATGAGTCGTGCCGAATTTTACCACCTTTTTGCCATGGGTGTTAAGAAAGTCATACGGTTGTTAAGTAAAACCGGCTTCCCCCGTTGTCTTTGCTTATCGGAGCTGGGAAGGTTGCAAACTGGGATCACATGCCCCTGGAGTGCTGCCACCATCATAAATAGTGTTTTGACCAAGGCTTCCTGAGACAGTAACAATCACACGCTGTTCCCCAAAACCTTGTTTTTATTTCAGTGGCTGTGAATTATGTGCATTCACAGCCCGTAATGAGTCCCAAACAGTTTGTGAATAGTGCAATAGAAGTCCGCCACCGTCTTTTGGGATAAGGCTGATAAGCACCCACCTTTATCTCCCTTGAAATGCTGCCAATGACTAAATTGCCAATTAGCTGTACAAGGCCAAACTGAGCACAAAATCTACACGGAGCTTCAGATTTTAAACCGACCAGAACGAACGAAGTTGCTTCCTTCAAAGGCTCATGTTCCACCGCTTTCCCTTTATGTCTTATGAGACAGGCCAATCATCTCCGATATAATATAAATTTAAATGCTATTAACTGTCAGTGCTGTTGTATTTTATAAGTGCTTAGAAAATATGTTGCTTCATGATGAGAATCACTGCCTGTTGTATTACTGTCACTTCTAAAGCATTGCTTCTTAAAGTGTGATCTGAGGAGCCCTGAAGTCTCTCGGGATTCAGGAATCCTGAAAACTATTTGCCAGCCTAAGTTGAAAAATAATCTAGAATTAAAATCACTTCCGACAATTCTAAGAAGCGGTAGTGGCAGGGAATGTGTCAATTTTAATGTACAATGGGATAAATATCAGTTGATGTAAGTTATAGAATCCAAAAGTTCTTTTTGGTTGTCTCCTATAATTGTTTAAAAGATGGGAAGTGGTTACTTCAAACCACTTCAAGTCACTAAAGTAAATAATGCTTGTAAACCAAGGAGTACCTGTTTCTCCGATTCCTGTCTCACCTGTATCTTTGGGCAGGTAGGTGAACATGAACGGTTCGCTGGAAACGCTGTCTGTCAAGCGACGCAGGTAGACCTCCACTTCCACGGGCTCCAGGATGTCCAGGTGTTGGTAAGGAGGAGTCTTAAACACAATGGCAATCTGCCGATGGACGTCCGCTTGGGAAAAATCAGCTCTGCCCTCCCAAGCGTCTTTCCGGAAAATGACAGAGATGTCTTCTGCAAAGTAAAGATGGAGAAGCAACGCTTAGGATGGCTGGGAATCAAATTCAAGAAGAGATAATGACAGGTAAACATTGCCCGAGAGACATTTGTCTTTTGCAGGAAAGATGTAAATATAAGTCAGAGAGTTTTACGATGCAGTTACTCTACTTCTAAGAATCTTAAAGGTATAAGAAGACTTTACTTTCTTCATACGTTTTGTAGCCTTCTTCTCATAACTATCTTGTGTGTGTGTGTGTGAGGATAGGTCTTGCCCTAACCTTATTAATCAATTAAATGATTTTGTTCTTCAAAGCCTCTGCTTAAGTTCATTTTTGACACATCGCGATCTTAAGTTCTAGCCAGACTTCACACTTCTGACAAGCGAAATCAGCGGGGAATCCAGATTCATTTAAAAGCCGGCTGACTAACTTAATACTTGGGGGTGATTCGCTGAACAACTGCCGCAAGAAAGATCGTGAAATTTATTTTATTTATTTTAGGAAAGTTATATGGCTGCATACTTGCCCGGGGCGACTCAAGGCAGCTTCCACAGATATAAAAACACCATATGAAAGAAATAAAAAGATATAAAAGAATAACCTCCCACTCCAGGAACAACATACATTCATACAAGGCATTTAATGGGCTCCATCCCGCTCTGGGGCAATCCTTACTTAACAACTGTTTCGCTTTCGGGCGCAAATGTGGTTGCAAGTCGAGGATTATTTATTGTACCGTGCCAGAGAGGACCTAATTTGATCAAATTAGTAGAATAAAGATATTTAAGACCTCTGTGTCAACTCATAAAATACTTCTGTGGGTTTTTTTTAGAGTTGCCAACAGAAAGTGGAGAGCAGTGCAGCAACTTGCAAAAACGAAACTGCAAACTGCAAACCACAA